CGCCGGCCCAGACATGCTACACCTCCGTGGGAAGCATCCCGGCTTGTGATCACTCGGTGCAAGACCCGCCCTCACCACGACCTTTCCCACCCAATCCTCCTCCTAGTCCTGCTTAAATGGCAGTTGATTGGGTTTTCTTTGTTTGGCGTTGAGGCGACACGGGACAATAGGTGAGTTCTGTTTTATTCATCTATGTTAAATATCTAGAACCACTAGATATATATTGGTCAAGTCACGGAACCATATGAGCAACTATTGACTTTACAGATCATACTCCAAGGCATTTAAACCACAGTCTTTACAACGGGGATGTGCATTGATGGGCGATTAGGATATCATAATGCGATGTGTATCGTTGTCAATGCAATATCAATTGCGAGTGAAAAATGGCAAAGTAACGAGGAACATTGGATCCTAAGGAGAGAAAATGAAGGTAGAATGTGTGATACTGAACTTTGAGAATGGATATGGATTTCAAAGGGGTTTATATACTTGAGGTTCTTTTCTCATTCGCATATCCATCGTCGGGCAAGATAGCTTAATGAACTATACCAAGTGACACCGATTGCATTTGCACATTGATTGTCAACAAAAATTCGGAGGTAGAGCAAGAAAGTCTAGACAAATCTAGGTGGGCATCCAGGGTTTCAAAATTCAACGTTAATATACTTGTGTAATTCAAATCGCGCAAGTCATCTAGCCCAATCCAAACGCAATTCCGATGGACACAAAAAAGATAGAATAGTTGAACAGAAGAAAAAGAATCAGCGCCTTTTGAGCTTGCGCCAATTGACCAGATTCGTGTATATTTGGGGAAAATCACTTTAATAACACATAAGGAAATTCGGAGGTATGAGGTACGGAAACATTTTAAATCAAAGCAAGACCAACAGCACTGGCAATGCTGAGGCCAACCACAGTCCAGCCAGTCTTGATAATCACAGGGTTGGTGAGACCACGGCCAAGATCCCACATCAAGTGGCGGATACCGTTCATGCAGTGGTAGGTAAAAGGAAGGGCCAGGGTGGTCTTGAGGAGGACCTTGGCCGCGAGAGGAAGAGCACCCATGGCAGCAACCATGGAGGCCGATTCGAGGTGCCAACCAAGAGCGGGGGAGGCGAGGTAGGCAGTAGCCCAGAGGTAGAGGGAGCCGGAGAGAGCGACACCAGAGATACGGTGCAGGGAACTGCCGATCCAGCCGATCTGGGGCTTGTAGATGGTAAGGTGAGGGGCGACAGGGCGGTTAAGACGCTGCTTAACGAGGATCTGGCTGGGGTCCTCGGTGTTCGGGGCCGAAGTGACTTGTCTATAGACCACGATTGTATAGTTAGTATGGACTTCTGGCGATTGCGGATGACGTAGGATTTCGTGATGGGCGCTGGATTTGAGGGTGGGCGAAACAATTGAAACTCGTCGTTTTAGCGCTGAGGAACTGACCTCGTCTGAATGTTCTTGCCGAGGGCAACGGCGACAGGGGAAGCACCCATCATAGACGACCGCATAGCGAACGGCTGCTGGACGGCAACTGTCCGGGGATAAGTTAGATCGCAAATTCGGACAAGGTAGGCATTGGGGTAAACATACGCCGTCGCAGCGACTGCTGGGCAACCTTCTGAGAGAACATTGTGATTGTGGAGTTGAGATTGTTCTGTTTAATCAGGATAAGAAATCCCAAGTGGCTCGCGAGCGATCGGAATCAACGGACGACCTCGGGTACGGGAGTGTTTAGTCACGGGACTGGCGCCCGGTAGTCGGCGTCCGCCAATCATATCGGATCTATTACCAGCCGGAGTATCGTTCTTCCCGACACGCTACTACAGTCATGTGATCAGCTCGCCTGTTTTCCCACTTTCTTCGGTCCGCACCTCCCGTTTCTTTCTTTCCTCAAGAGTCTCCGCTCACGTCGTCTACTGGTTTTGCTGGGATGATGTCGTCGTTAGCTTTCCCTCACTGACTGCGGCTTTCTGTCGTGGACGCCGAGGGATCTCGAGGCTCTCAGAAGGAGAGTCCCGTCGTTAATCGCCCGTTCCACTCTACCAATGAGGGGAAGGGGTTTCATATCAGGGATACATACTACATGTATCACATCGCTTGATGTTTGTAGAATTGCCAGGTTCTTTGGACACACTGTTGTGGTTCGAAAGATCACTGCAACTGCTGACAAGCCTGCATTGGTTACTTATGGAGGAGCATCCAGCTGAGCCATTTATGTTTTGCACTGTTGTGACGTTCACTCGAGTTATGCAGCTATCTGCAATCCATATTGGATAACTTCAAAATCAATGGCCCCATCTCTTACTCGCCTCTTAACGTAAAATACTGTCGGCTGTAAATTTCCCAGGTTGGAGATAGAACCATATAAAGTCATTGGTTCCTATCACATGTCAAGGAGCCATGACAGAAGATGTATTCTTTCCCTCAGATCTAGGCTTGGTATTTGGTCCACAGGCCAATATTTTGATTATTCACCACAGAATAAAGGGCTCTAACTAGGACTCCCAGCGACATACCTAACCTTGGAAGGTCGGCCTGCTCAGTAATCCAGAAATTGTGCCCAGGTGCAGCTCAGATGCAACCTCGGCACCTCGGGCCTTCCCCACAGCAGGTAGGTCCGCGGCTGTGAGATCGGTTTATTATCTGGTCTTTCATGTTCAAAGCATTTTGCTTGACTCTATACTTTCAGAAGCGAAGGAAGCAATCATACTCATGTTAGTATACCTGGTCCCTGTTCAAGTTCCATGTTGTTTCCTTGGAAGTTACTGACTCCGCAATCATCAGATTAGATACCCCGACTTAACAAGATGCCTTTCAACACAGCCTTGACGCGAAAGCTCGGTATTCGAGGTGGGCTACGGATTCATTGTTCTGCATATATCTCCAGCTGCTGATTATAGATATAGTACCCGTCGTGCAGGGTGGTATGCAATGGGTTGGATACGCTGAGCTGGCCTCGGCTGTTAGCAACGCAGGCGGACTTGGACTTGTACGTCTTATACTCTTCAGTGAAAGCCCTAATTGCATACAATATCTAACGCTTCCATCCAGCTCACAGCCCTCACCCAACCAACCCCCGAAGACCTCCGCAAAGAAATCCGCAGATGTCGCACCATGACCAAATACCCCTTCGGAGTGAACCTGACCCTCCTCCCCTCCATGGTTCCCCCCGACTACGGTGCCTATGCCCAAGTAATCATAGACGAAGGAGTCAAGATCGTCGAGACCGCAGGTAACAACCCTGGCCCCGTCATCACCCAGTTGAAGAAGGCCGGCACCATCATCCTGCACAAGTGCACGACAATCCGTCACGCCAAGGCCGCCGTCAAGCTCGGCGTGGACTTCCTTTCCATCGACGGCTTCGAGTGCGCCGGCCACGTCGGTGAGCACGATATCACCAACTTCATTCTCTTGAGCCGTGCGCGCCAGGAACTTGGCGTACCGTTCATCGCCTCGGGTGGATTCGCCGATGGCCAGGGCCTTGCTGCTGCCCTGGCGCTTGGTGCTGAGGGTATCAACATGGGTACTCGCTTTATGAGCACTGTTGAAGCCCCGATCCACCAGAAGGTTAAAGAGGCTATCGTCGCGGCACAGGAGACTGATACTGCGCTTGTGCTGCGTCGGTGGAAGAATACCTCTCGCCTGTTCGCTAATAAGGTGGCTAAAGATGCATTGAAGGTCGAGCAGGAGAGTAAGACTGGCGAATTTAGCGAGGTTGGGCCCTATGTTAGCGGCAAGCGGGGTCGTCAGGTCTTCATTAACGGTGACGTTGATTTCGGCGTAAGTTACTCTCAAAATTATGCATGTCTTGTGTATCTTTGCTGACTCTTTTCATTACGCAGGTGTGGACTGCCGGTCAGGTTATTGGCTTGATTCACGACATCCCGACTTGCGAGGTCCTGCTCACCCGGATCGAGAAGGAGGCCTTGGAGGCGATGGCCCGGACCAGGTCTTTGTTTAGCGATGCTCCCTCTAGCAAGCTTTGAAGGGGCTTATGTTACAGATGTGATTTCAGTCCGTGTATTTAGCTTCCTATTGATTGGAAAGATCCAATAGAATCGTCTAGTTGGGATGGTTTCTGGCCTGGCTTTGTACTTTTGCATTTTGAATAATACTATCTTCTCTTCACGCCAATCATCCACGTCATTTCCGGTGCTAAAATAAGAGCTCCCCACAAGGGGGTCGTCGGTCAATAATAAGCATTCCCGGGCGAGGGTCCGTGATATTGTATCAAGGATCTGCACGCAGATCCTCGGATACTCGGACATTCCTTCAACTCCAACATCCAACAATAATGATTCCAACGCGATGGCGGAGCCATTTTTCCCAGCCAAGTTCACCCCCGTAATTGGGATCAAACGAGAAAGAATGACATTTGCTCTTCGCCCTGAGTCCTCTCATGCGAGGTCAGAAAGAGAGTGGAGACATCCTTGCATGTCGATCCTCCTGGGGATTCTTGAACAAGCTCCATTTCCAGTCTAGGCGATTGGCTCTGTCTCAGTTGTAGCTTTGGTTTCTTGATTGTGCTGCTGTCGCGGCCTTTGTGTATGATATCATTCACCATGATTGGTCTCTCCCCGGGCAACCCTTACCACTCACATGTACTGTGATGCTTGGTATGCTTTCACTATTACCTTTACTATCTGCATGATGAGGGGTAGGAGATCTAGAGGTAAACGTAGCGGTGACCCAGGCTAGTATACGCAATCCAATTGCTCGAGCAAATAGACGATATCCCATTGCGTTGCACAGCAGCTGCCACAGACCAGCATTACCCCGTGAAGATCAAGATAACGACATACCTCGTCGTCCAACGTGCCTCCAGCCCAGAATCGAACGCAGAATTTAGTTTCTATCTCTCCCCTCGTCTCTCCAATTAGTTATTCAATTCATATATCCCAAGCCCATCATTCTACCAGCTATTCCAAGCTTCAAAACCAAAAGCAGCCAACTTCAAATAGAACATACCTATCTACACCACACAAAAACTCAACTCAAAATCCAAAATGGGCTTCATATCCACCCTGGAACGCTGCATGCGAAAAGCCCTCTCTAAAAGACTCTCAACAACAAGCACCAAACTCCATGAAGACTCAAACGATCTAATCAAAACAACCTCGGAAACAGCCTCTCTGACCACAAGCATGGACTCCACCTCAACGATGGTACACCACTCGTGGCACGAACCAGTCCTGCCATGCGAGTCACCAAACCCTATGCAGATCAGGACAGATAATGGCAATATGCGGACCTTGTTCGATGATGATACTACCTACCAGCCGACAGATCGCGCTGTCAAGGCTCTGGCCAGACCCGCGTATCCGATTTTGAAATTGGACTGTCGGTCGCCTATCGAGGCGCCGAGGAGGGTACTTCAGGAGCCTTTGGGGATGAGCAGGGATGAAAGTATGAGCAAAGCTACGGGTGCTGGTGGCTATACGGAAAAAGGTGCTTTGGGTTCGTCTGCGACAACGGCCCAGAATGGCTTTGAAGAGGAATTTATCGCTGGGAAGAAGGATAAGAGGTCTATGTCGGCTTTGCTGAAGAGGCATTGTGGGTTGAATATCCCCCGTTCGTCGATTTCGATTAAGACGTCGTGCAGTACGCAGTCGCCGAAGGGGTTCGATTCTGCTAGATTTACGGATGAGGAGGGGTTGGTGGATAAGAGGAATGAGAAGTGGGTGGACGTGAGTTTGAATGAGAAGAAGAGGAATAGTGTATTGGGCGGTGTTGCGCTTGGGAGACTGTGGTAGGAATTTTGTCAATTGGAGTGTGAGTCCATGTGTAAATAGTTGGCATGATAATTGAATGAAGTTGAAATTGGACGTTTAATTTCTCCGGTAGACGATGGCTGGTAGAAATCTGAGTCCACGGGGGAGAAGTGAATCGAACCAAAGGTAGAAAGGAAAGGGTCTTAATCTAGGACTAAGAAGGGTTAAGCCTGCGGGTTTCGCTGAAGGGGGAGGGTAGGATTTGCTGCAAGGGATGGCAGGCTAGAATACAGATAGGATTACTGCGATAGTGAAGTTGGAATACGCCAGAAGTTGCTCTACGGTTTGAGAGCAGTCAAGATAGTGCAAGCAAATCTAATGAATTAAAGTTATATATGCGAAAGAAGCCCTAACCGAGACAGCAGCTTGGAGGTTTCAATGCGCAAAGCAACAGGGACAAACACCACAAGGTGATAAGCAGAAAGCAAAAAACATTCTTCTTTCTCCGAGGGTGCCACACGACACGAGTTAAGTGATACACGAGATGAAATGAACAGGACAATCTAACTAATCAAACATAAGCCAAAAGCCTGCTTCCCATGCCCGAAATCGATAACAGTCCACATCGCCAGCCATGTCCAACTCTGCACCAAGGGCCAAAGAGCCGGCATGGTGACCGGTGCTTCTTGCATGATGCGAGAAAACAAAGCAAAGCGCTTAGAGGATGGAGCCAAGGGCAACACATGGGAGGCCAAGACCAATGAGGTCGGAGTTCTGTGAGATGTTAGTTGGGATTGATGAACAGTGATTCTGGGAGTACTCACGGCGCTCGAAGGAGAGTTCTGGCAGCAGGCAATGTTCTGCTTGCACTTCTGGTTGATGAGATCCTGGATGGGGATACCAATGATGGGGATCTGGAGGTCGAGCTTGGAGCACTGGTCGAAGAGACCGAGGCCGGAGGCACCGGAGCCAGAGCCGATCAGGTTGCTGAGGGTACCGCCGAGCATGCCAGAGTTGATGTCGGTGGTGTCGCCGGCGTAGACAGCCTTGTTGCAGCAAGAGAGCTGAGCCTGGTCACCACACTTGGCCTGAGCCTGCTTGACGGTCATGTTGTCGGGGACAGCGAAGCGAACGTCGGTGTTACCCTTGTTGCCGACACCGTTGCCGTTACCAGCGCCACCGGCGTTGGGGCCTCCAGGAGGAAGAGCGTACGCGGTGGCAGCGAGGCCGAGGACAATAGCGGAGAGAGAGAACTGCATTGTGACGGTGGGTTTGGATTTAAACGAGAGAAGACTCGGAGAGTAGAGAAGATAGAATAATATAGAAGGAAGGCTTGAAAGAGAGTGATGCGGATGAAGAAAAAACTAACTGAGGGCGATGAGTGACCTCGTCTTTATAGATTTGACTGGCGGTCTGTGAGTCGCCCTGACTGCATACTCCAGGGCCAAATTGTTTTGCCTCCTACCAAAAGATCATCTCCAGTATGTTTTCGGAATGTAACTGGGAAGGAAAGGGAGAGGCAGATCGCTCCACTCTGCAGGGGTAGACCAACGAGGGTGCTCCTGTGGAGGCTCCTGGTATGGATCTACTTCCCAGGTACTCACTTCATGTGACGGCGGAGAGCCCTGACATTCCCTTGCCCTCGCTCATTAGCTCGACCGAGGGAAGTTCCCACAATTTGTCTGTAACGTTGGATGAAAACAGGTATGATTCAGCTATGGCTATGCTATACCTTCCAAGGTTGATCTCTGACTACCACATTAGCCCATAAAATTTAATCAAAATAAGCTTAAGCTCTTCAGGTGGTCTAAGGGCATACCTGGAGCTGGAGACTTCAATTTCCCACAGGGGCTTGTCTCCTTTTAATTTGACTTTGACTCTGCACTTCGGGAGCTAAGGCATGCCACGCATACACTCATGGCAAGCGCCTGACTCTGCTGAGAAGGCTGGGATTCTTCCTTCTAAGTGGTGGTCGAGTCTCCCGGATGAGGGTCATCTGCAAGGGCATTTACTGCACCCCGGACACTAACGCTACGTAGGGAGATCTAAGACACTCCCTTCATTGTTTAATTTCTCGTATACTGCGAGGAATTAAAGCTCCCTACTGGTAATCACAGGGTATCCCCGTGAAGTCTCCGATTGGGCGTCTCGCTTTCCGATAATAATGTCGTCGATTACCACCAAGCTTCCCCCTGGCAGCTTCTCACAGGACCTGAATCGGTCCTGTTCGTATGATTTGAGGTTATACATATCGTCCCCTGCAGTCCAATCTTTAGCAATGTTTCCCTTTGGTCTATACATCGTCCACATTACTAGTGTAACTTAGCTTTCAATGCAGTCTCGTATCGCATTTTCAGATCAAGTTTTTGATGACCTTGAGAATGGTGGGGATATAGTTAGATGCATCCAATGTACATCGCAATTTTATTGCTAGGCGTTCCATCGGTGAACTGTATAGTCACACTTGAGTGAGGATGATACGGAGAATGTAGTGGAAAATGACGCCTAATGTCCTTTGTGCCGCTCAAGCGGTATGATATAGTACGTCATTTTAGTTGCATAGCTGTTAATCAATAGCCTAACAGTTACTCCAGGATAATTCCCAAGAGTAGTGAACTGATACCACAACGCTAATTGATGGTCAACCGGCTGTTCGAGTAGTCTTGCAATAAATACACCCAAGTCCAATATTTGAATGTTAAATAATTATCTCGACCTCTCTAAGAAACGCTTAGTTGGGGTATTCTTTTGATTTTACTTCTCGCTAAAGTGGTACAGTAATTCTTTGTTTAGATGTAGAGGTTAGGTATATATCTGAAAAGAGTGCAAAGCTTTAGTGGAGAGTACGACAGTTCTAGATATATATCTACAACACATACATTTAATTCAACCCATAACAATAAAGATAATTTTTAAATGCGCAATTGTTCACTAAATTTAATTATTTCTATTCACGAATTTTGAATGCTTAGTACACCACCTAGACACCCCTATACCTGGTTGTCCATGGTGCCAACGGACCGGTCAAAACTCTACTCTCCCGACGCCCTCCACATTCAATTAAATCCGACAAATTATTGCGATACTTGATCATCGGTGCCAGCAAAGTTTCCAAGGTCGGGATTGATCCGATCAATCATTTCTTTCATATCTATTGAGGTTCAAATCCGGCGAAGATGGCGGCTATGCCATGCAAATACAGCTCTCAGCCAACCATTTCTGAATAGTTTTCGGCATATAAATAGCAGAAGTATCTTGATAGATTCCACTCAATGTCCAGATATATACGAGGAATTTCAGCCTCCAAATCGTCAAGATATCGCAAAAGCACACCTTTGAACGCGGCTACGCTATCCTAGGGATGTACGGAATACTAAACACAAGGGCGAGTGTGCCCGTCTGCGATATTTCCATAAAACATTTACTTATCCAACGAAATTCTGTGGCTATATCGTATCTCCGCCTACGAATACATACCTAGGGTAACATGAAATTAATTTGACAAGTGATTTGATGCCATGGGTGTGCCCAGCTGCTCAGTTTTGCTTAGTGAGCACTAAAACGGAAAGGGAAAGCCATGTCATGTCGTGTGGCCTAAAACCCGATGTATATGAGGTATGTATATCTCTTTGACACTCAGACTGAAATAGCCCGATTTGCTTCCAACGTTACGTCCAAATCAATAATCTTCAAGGATAAGCAGATCATATATAATTATTTCCGGAAAGTAAGCTTAATTGGATCGAGCCATAGTTCGCATTGTCTTGCAATCAATACATGCAATGGAACAAATAATGACCCACCATAGTGAAGTGAGTTCGTTTTCTCAGAACTTGAATAAAGGGACCATTAACAGAAGAGCGCCAAAAGGACAATACCAAAAGCCCAGAAATTACACAAAAGTAGTTTCGACCCAACATTGCCGTAAATGACAGTTTCAGTTGGCTTGGATCCTGTGGGCTTTGAAAGAGTCGTCTTAGGAGCAGTTGGTGTAAGAAGAGATGTGGTGTGGGTTTTGCAGCTAGTTGTCATCTTGGAGGACGACACGTGCGCATGGTGGCCGGTCTTAGAAGGAGGACTGGTAGTAGTAACAACTACCAGATTCACAGAGGTTGTAGAGGCACAAGTGACCGTGCTGAACCCAACGTGCGGAACAGTTGCCGTATGCGAGGCCCAGCTAATAGTGGTACAAGGAGTCCGGGGGACAGACGTGGCTACACCAACAGTCTCGGCAATCGTACGTGTATTGCCAGTGATTTGAGGACCAGCCGTGGTCTTAGGAACGGGGCCCGAAGAAGTGCAGGTTGTGGCAATATCTACAATAGCAGGGTTCTCCGGAACGAAGGGGGCGCAAATGCCAGCGAAGTAAGCAAGGGCGGAATCTTCCTCCTTCTTCGAGCTGCTCCAGGCCCGAATGCACCCACTGACTTTGTCCGTAAATTCGGTAGACGGACAGAAGCATGCCGCGTCGCTGTTGGAGTTGCACTTCGGAATGGAGAGCCATGTGTTGAGACACTTGGGTACCACGTTGGGGCAGGGGGCAGTAACAGCGGGCGGGCTGGGCACGGTGGCGGTCGTGGTACTGATGGAGCTTGTGATCGTGGGACAGATTGTGGTTGACAATGGATATGTAGAAGTAACCAATACAGTCGAATGAGCAGGGCAGTTAGTGGCAGTTGGCGCACATTTGGTGATGGTGATCTCCTCGGTAGTCCAGACTGTGGAAGTCGTCATCCGCTGGGACGAGTGACTAGTCGTAGAAACCTCCTGCGAGGTCCAATGGGAAGGAGGCAGGGAAGCTGTCGAGCTTGGGGGATCCGAATGAACATGAGATGTTGTGCTAGGTTTCGTTTCCGCGGGAGTAGACGGGCAAACTGTGGTCGACAATGGATAGGTAGAGGTAACCAAAACAGTCGAATGCCCAGGGCAGTTAGTGACGGTTGGTGCACATTTGGTGATAGTGAACTCCTCGGTTGTCCAGACTGTGGACGTCGTCATCCGCTGAGACGAGTGACTAGTCGTAGAAACATCCTGCGAGGTCCAATGGAAAGGAGGCAGGGAGGTAGTCGAGCTCGGACTGGACTCAGTGTGAGAGTGAGAGGGCTCGAGGACAGTGTGACCTGGCGGCTTAGATCCAGTAGAGCAGTCAAAGTTGATCTGATGGATCTCTAAATCACAATCGCCGAACTTACTCTCTTCGGGAAGCGTGAACTCAACTGAGACAGCACCGCCACACTGGTCGTTGGCAACATCAGTTCCCCTGTACGAGCTCGAAGCGACATGATGACAGGAAGAACCATCAGACATCTCGTAGATGATGAAGACATCGGTGCTCCGGGAAGTGGAAAGATGGAAGCTTCGAATTGAGAATGGAGCATCGGCAGCGTAAATTTTGATTGTCCAGTCATCATCACGAGAAAGCCTTCCCCCAAGACAAGTGCCCTTCAATGAATTAGGATCGAGAGTCCTTCACATATGTAGAATGACCTACTCCGTAACTAGATCCCTGGCAGCCATTCTTGGGCTCGAGCCCAACGAAGTGGAAGCCTTCAAAGCTCCAATTGTTACCGTTTGCCAGCTCAGACAAGTCAAAGCCTTTCCGCTGAACATCCGAGCACTGATTGTCGGTATTATCTGGACTGGTGTAGCAGACATCGGTACCCCACCACTAAGATATCCCGAAGTCAACCTTGCTCTGAGTTGTATGGATGGAAATACTCACAAGGCCCGCCGGGTGAGCTAGTGTAGCACCGAGAAGCGAAAGAAGAGCAATTCCCTTCATAATGGGCGAAGCTGTATTAGTTGAAGCCAGGAAGTAAATAAGATACTAAAACGAGTGAATGACGCTTGAGCTGAGCGTGGGTCTAAAAAGAACGAGAATGAGAGACGATATTGGCGAAGTTTGTCGACTGGATGTTAGATGGCGAGCATCAAAGAGAGCCAGGACATCGTCCTTTTTAACCTCGAATAACATATACAGAAGAAATACCCCTAATCCAGATGTGCTATCAAGAGATCAGAAAGTAGAAAAGAATGTCAGCCACACTGATACAGGAATTTGCGATCAATCCAATAGTGTGAGCTTAAGATAATCGTAAATCAGCTAGTTTTGCTGAAATCAAGCAGGTCACATCGCTGTAGTTCAAGGGATCGGCGCAGGGGGAACATTCCAGTGATAGAAACCCCGAAAGACCAATTAGAACAGTCGGTAACTGTAGCCGAGCTATAAGGCTCGCTCAGAATCGCCCAAAAAGTTCAAAGTGTCGGAGAATCAAGCAAGGAGCTATATCTTGGCTGATTGTAAGGAATATTCAAGGTAGAACAATATTATTGTATAGCTTATTGCGCGAGAGACTTTCCTGATTATCAAATGAGCTAAATCCCACTATGGAAGCCTGTATAACGATGTGTTAGTACCTATCCATGGATACTAAGCATATCCATAGTACGTGGGTGTATAGATCGCACATGAGGGTTTTAACTGAAAATTTCCAGAGTTCCTATACATCAAGATTCTCCAAGCTTCCAATCGTTGGTTTAGCATCAGTATAAAAAGCCTGTATTTGTCGTTTGCTTGCATCTGCAATTTACGAGACGTTAAAACATGTGGAAGAGATCTAGAACCGGAAGACCCAACTACATACATTCCTGCTCGCGCATTCCACCAAAGAGCTGCCTAACAAGTAACGATTGTTTCACTCCTCTTGCTAATTATACCATTCAAATAAACTGTGGCCAAAGTCAAACACAGAGGCTTGTGAGTATTCCCATGGGAAGCTCCATAGGGAACTCATAGGGAGGTGAGAGAAGATAGCGCACAACGGTACCAGAACATATTCATGTTCGTGGGCACGAATTGGTGGAGATAGCAGAGATAGCCATGGCCAACTTTTGGTATACATGGCAATGGTGCAGGCGAGTCGGAAGAAACACGGCCAGTCCGACTGGACGTACACGGTGTGCTCAGCGATGGAGAGGTCTTCACATTCTCTCATACGGATATGAATGGTCAGTTTACGTTTGTTTTCCTGCAACCGCGATGCGAACGATGGGAACCAATCGCCAATATACTCGCTTCCTTCATCCTTAAAGGAATGAAAACTTGTGCTTCGCCTGTGCGATCGAGTTTGGCGAGTAGTCCTTCTGCTCGGAACTCTCACCAGCGGCCGTCACATCAGCTTCCTCCCCTTGGTACTTTTGCATCAATTGAAGACATGATGGAGATGTAAATGTCTGGATGCTTTGATGTTTTGATGTTTTGTTTCACGACCTGACCAAGAAAAAGCCTCATTGTATCATTAACTAGCTATACTTTATGACATAGTATAGCTGCTGAAATGCTTATCTGAGTCGGTAACCAGAATGCACTCTCGCAGTTTATACTGTATCTTAAAAGCCAATCTGTAACTAATCAGAAACGAATCAGTACCAACAAGCCAATGACAAATCAGAGATGGCAAACTAGCATAGCGCCATGCTATCTCTGGAAGCCATAGGACTGTTTCCGGAGAGTTGGAGAGCACGCAAACTGAACTGTAAGAGATTTTAGCAACGGTATGAGCTGAGTTTGATCTGAGGTAAAAGTGAGATATGTTCAATTGACTGGCCGTGGAGCATGGAGCCCTGGAGGTATAAACCGGATGTACATCCTGCGCTAATGCATTTGGGGTTAGCGTAAGACTTGATTCATTAGGTAGGCGGTGACGTTGAAATGCCACGCACGGACCCTCTGTTTCGACTGGGTAGATCGCATCCTCCGCCTCTTTCTCTTCTGTCAAGTCACCTTCTGCAGGAATCATTGCTTTCATTGCCCAGTATGTCTGCCTCACCGGAAGCATCGCCATCTGCTCCACAAGAGCGCACCAGTGCATCACCCAACCCTGCTTCGCCGGGCCATGAGACGCAAGCCAAGCATGACATCTACAGCCAGAAAGATCAGGCGGAAAAGAATGAACCGCCCCAACCAACTGAAGAACCAGAGACCCATGCATCCAAGTCGCAACCCGATGAACCTGAGCAAGATGAACTGACGTCTGCACCACCACTCCCCGACGAAGTCCCACCGCCACTTCCCGCCGAGGCTCCGCCTGCAAAGGTCGAGGACGATGGATGGGAACCTGCATGGGACGCCACCGCAGGGGCATATTACTTTTACAACCGCTTCACTGGAGTTTCACAGTGGGAAAACCCTCGCGTACCGCAGGTCCCAGCAGTCCCAGCAATCCCAGCAGCACCCGGCACAGAAGCCAGCAATCAAAGCGCAGTTCCGAAGAAAGAGCCAGTCCTTGGTGGTTACAATCCCGCGATACACGGCGACTATGACCCCACCGCACCGTATGCGCAATACCACGAAGAGCCAGCACAGCCCGCGAACGCAGCCGTTTTCGACCCCTCCGCGGCATATGCAGCTACCGGCACATTTAATCGTTTCACGGGACGATGGCAAGCTGCAACGATCAATCCCGAAAATCACAATGATGAGAATAAGTCTCGACGGCAGATGAACGCTTTCTTCGACGTTGATGCCGCGGCAAATAGCCATGACGGCCGGAGCTTACGCGCAGAGCGCAGTGCTAGGAAGTTGACAAGACAAGAGTTGAAGCAGTTCAAGGAGAAGCGTCGCGAGAAGAAAGAGGAGAAGCGGCGGGCTTGGCTCAGGGATTAGGGCCCTGTGGCTAGCTGTCTGTTTGAGTTCTGGGAGGGAGGGAGGTTGTTTGATGTATTCTCTGCTTGCCACCGGTCGCATTGCCATTTCGGAGCTTTTTGATACCATCCCACCGGATGTGGGACTCGGCGTTTGAGCTTGTTTGATTTGTTTTTCTCGGCGTTCTGCCTTGCATGTGGATAGAGGCAGAATTTCTGTCGTCTCTATCCACGATTGAGCAAAGTTATTTGTACAATGTACCATGTATCAACACAAATATTGTCTCAATATGAGATTTTCCCAGAATTCTAAATCCGTATCATGCGCGCGTAGTGATTAGCATCGACGTTCATTTGACGACTCATATTGTACCGTTGACTGATAGCCCACTATCAGTCACATGACCCGCGATATCAAATTATTTTTTGCGGCGATCGCTTCACTTGTCGCCGGGATACTCTACGCTAGGAAGCAAAGAATTGAAAGGAAAGGTAAGAATGAAATAACTCCCTGTTCATTGACTCCAAATTTGTGGAAAAGTACCTTGAACACCGATTCCCATTTTGTGGCTGGAACTTGTCCTTGACATTGAAACGCTTATCAAAGATTTAAATTGCATGGATATATCGTGGGGAAGGTCCAGTTATACTATGCAAAATCCCCAATTTCCTCAGATTCTTTATCGCTTTATACACATCATACCCTTTGATTTCTTGTCCCTTGTCTTGTCATGTTCCAATCGTGATCACCGACCTATTACTGACACTACTCCAGCGACATCGAATAAAGTGGGATATCAAAAACAACCCCACCAGAAAGAAGGACAAAATAATACCAAAAAGCTGGTTCATCATACATCATGTCCGCTTCCACGACATCACAGGCAAAGCCTCCAGTCCCAATCGCACTATCTGCCGATGCAGTTGACGATCTGATCTATGATGCCCGAGCAGGCGACCTCGAGGCCCTAAGTGAGGATATTGCCAACCTGGCCAGCCAACACAGCTGCAACGAGTCCCAGATCGTGGCATCTGCCATCGACATGGCAGATGAGAGCGAGGGCGGCTCGGGATCCTGCATTCTGCACTTCCCCGCTGCGAATGGAAACTCCGGTATGTCAATTGAACTTGATTCGGGTTACTTTTTCTATCTCTCACATGTCATGTCAAATATTCCCTTTTTTATGACTTCCGCCTCTTTCGACGTATTTACTAACACTGCTCAGAAATCCTCAAAACTCTCCTCCAAAAGCTGTCGTCCACAGACGCTGCCCAGCGTGTCGCATTCGTTAACCACCGCAACAACTCTGGCAACACGCCCTTGCACTGGGCTGCGCTTAACGCGCACCTAGAATGCGTTAAGGCGCTTGTCGAAGCTGGCGCAGACCTTGAGGTTAAGAACGATGCCGGCCACGACGCTGTTTTCCTGGCTGAACGGACGGCGTGGGCTGCTGTTCAGGGTGACGAGGACGCTGAGGGTGCTCAGGGCGACGATGCCCAGACTCAGGAGATTGAGATGACTATTGGTGAGAACGAGGGCGAGGAGAAGCCTGCTGAGAGTGCCGGTGAGATGTCTGCGGGCAGACAGGTTGTTGAGTGGCTCCTGGCTTCGGATGTCGGCGCTAGTTTGGAGAAGGGGGCTACCGAGGGTGAGGCTAGTGGGTCTGCTTGACTTATATCAAGGAGGTTGGGGTGACAGCGCCTTCTTGCAGAAATGATTGAAGAAAACTTTAAGATTTCACGCATAGAATTGGAGATACGGGTACTTTCTATTCTTGCATATGTTGTTTGTTAGTGTCTATATTAATGTATTTTATTCTATTCATCATAACATCAATCGAAAGAGGTTGCAGGGCTTGGAATGCTGATCTAGTATATATAAAGTTCGTATATTCTCGTCTACACATCAATTCAATCACTGCAGACCTTGCCCGCTACCGCTCCTGTAGAACACGAAACCTCCACAGGTGGTGGAGTAGAAGGGCCGATCTCCCGAACTTTCGCATCGAAGCCGACCTTAAAGCGTCGGTCTCGCCAGACGACTGTCACACCGCCATACACCGCCATGATCCAGATGGGCAGGGCCAGCAGTTCGCGGCCGAGCCAGGCGGCAAGCCACTGCATGAACGGGCGGCGAGTAGTTTGGGATGATCGGTAGCGTTGAGGCCGAGCAAAAGCTGGGGTATCCTGGTCCAACTCGATGCATTTTCCGGAATGCAGCTTGATATACAATGTCCAATCGACCAGGATCCAGAAGAACATGCCGAGTGCGAACAAACCAAAGAACGCACCCCACGTTCCGAGATGGGCAGCAAATTGCACGCCATTCTGCTCAAGGTACGGCGCCAAGGCAGTGGTGATGCCCCATGCACCAAAGGTTGTGCATAGGAATGACTCGGTGCCTGGTTCGACAAGCGTAGCGAGCAGGACAGTAAATTTACGGACTCGCAGCCACCGGATACGACGGGCGATGTATGCCGGGACGCTCATGTTGGCAACAGGCTGAATAGCCATGTCGCCGAAGACCATGGCGTGCTTGCCCCAACGCTCGCGGAGCTCTTTCTCTTCCCGTACCTGCTTCTTCCACAGCAGATCACCGATCAGGTGGTCCTCGCAGATGTTGTCGGAGAAGAAATCGATGCCGGGACGCCGAGCCTGGGTATCCGAGGCCGACGGACCGGTGAGATAGTCGAGGTGGGAGCGGCGGAACATGTTAGATTTTCCCACGATGCACGGCGCAACGAGAACCGTGTTGATCGCGGTGTACATTTTCGCGTGCGCGGAGGACAGGAACAGCTCTTCCAAGCGACCGCCTCCAGTCGCGACCATAGCTGCAGGCCCATCCTCCGGACGGGTGGACGGCGTCGCTGCGACCGCTGCATTAGCATCCGTGATTTGCGGGTTGGCATCTAGGAGCGCCTGTCGCTCTTCACGTAGGCTGCTATCTCCTGTCACATCCACTGCGACAGGTAGATGGTGCACGAACTTGTATTTCTTGCTCGATGAAGGTCCAGTCCCGCACAGCCTGTCCACCATCCGGGCACAGACTCTCTTCCCGACCCAGACATTGCAGTCAATGATCCAGACAATATCTCCTCTTGCTTCACGGTATGCGCGGCTCATATTCCGGATCTTGGGATTCGGTCCAAGCGTGTATGTATTGGTGCCATCCTGCTGCAAGAGCGGATCTTCCTCTTCGACGAGAATCTGCGCGTCGACATCGGGGAAGTCGGTGACTAGTTTGCCGAGGGTAGAGTAGGCCGGGTCGGCGCGCGTTGCTACACAGAGCCGAATGCTGAGCTTGTCGCGCGGGTAGTCCTGTCGAAAGGTGGCAGCGAGGCAGTCATAGAGGTGCGGCTCGAGGCCCTTGACTGGCCGGATGGCCGTGACGTGCGGTACGTCAGAGGCGGAGGCTTTCGTTAGCCGTGACCGATGTGGCTTGCTGAGGAAATATTTCCATCTGAGCAGAAAGGAATTGAGTTAGCGATATTTTTTTTTTTTTTTTTTTTTTTTTTTTTTTAAAAA